TTTTATTTTTTATTTTTTTAAAATATATATATATAAATACATATTTTATCATTATATTTTTTATTAAATTAATATATACATAATATATTTAGACATAGATAAATAAAATACATCTCAAAATAAATAATTAATTTTCTATTCATTTTTCTTCCGATTTTAGAGAGATTGTTTTTTGTGAATTAAAAATAAAGTTAATCCATTCACTTTTTCAATCTTCTTACTTTCTTTCTTTATCAAATATAATATTTTATTTATCTTTTTAATTTTTTATCATTTTAATTTTATATTTTTTTATTTATTTATCGTACCAAACGTAACATGAGAAAAACATGCACCTGCAGGCGGTAAAGCCCCGAGAAATTAATGAACGACGCCAGCTCATACACAGCATATATAAAAAGGAATATAAAATCCTAAAAACGAAATTGCGCAGAGAGAGAGAGAGCACATGCCTCCACGTGGAAATAGGCATTAAAAATAGCATTTGTGGCAGGGATGTGACTACAAATAAGAAACTCTATCATAGACAGAGCACTTACATGCATAGGACACCGCTGGAAGGGCACCATTATGAAGCTGCGTTTGATGCTGGGCCATATCCGAGTCTGAGGAAGCTGAGGGCTTGATCCAACGTATAATAACATTAGCTTGGCCAACAAAATTTAGCAATAAAAATGCAGCGTCTCACTACAGACTACAGTGCTATCGTACCTGCACTTTTTAATTAATAAAACTATATCACTAGTTCAATTTTATTCTGTGATTGTTCAAACAATAATTTTTAGATCATCTAATTCAAAATATCATCAAAATTAATGCAGTTATGCCCTTAACGTCAATATCAGAACCTTACCATAAATTGTAAGATGACACCAACCGTTGATTTCAGAAAAGTTAAAATATTGCCATTGCAGTAGCAGTGAAATAAATATTATCACAGAGAGCGCTACTGGCACGAACATTGGGGCTTGGCCGAAAGGCTAGTCACCCTCCCCATGCCTTTGGTCACAGGTCTTGAACAGTTTAATGGGTAGAATCGTTTCCCAAGTTAAGGAAGGCATCCTGATCACGGACACTTTATTGACAGCATGAAGCAATGCCATAGCTTGCTTAAAGCAGTGAACCATGGATACCTTTTCTGCTTTGTGTATTGTGATAGCAAATCATCCCTTTCCTTAACTAATCTAACATGCCGTACCCTGGCAACGGCGGGCTAGATGCTTATTATACATACATAATATGTAACTCATACCAACTAATTATATGTGATTAAGTTTAGAGAAATGAACAAACCCAAAAGGAAAAAAAAGTGTAAATGCAAAAAAAAAAAAAAAATACTAAAAGAATCTATATGAAGCAGCAACTAAGGACGAAAACAGTCACGAACTCCAAATTGACTGCGGCTATCGGATTTGCAATGGAAGATTAAAACAAGTTTGGACTTTTCAGTTGTGAAGGTATAGTACAGAAGCAAAGGGACATCTTTCTACATCATTAAAAGCTGTACAACTTAGTGCCCACAGCCCACATGCAGGTATACAGGAAAATTTAATGCGATCCAATTGTTACTCAAGATATATTGTTTTAGTAAAGAAAGTTTTCAGAAAACTCATGATTTTCTGCTATTTTAAGTTCTGAATCTTCAGTTCCTACTCATAACTCTGCAAAGCATCTAATTCTTTTCAACCACAAGGAACATCTAACAAACTGAAAGCCTTTTAGCTTTGCTCGGATTATTTTGTACGCCACAGCTATCCATCTACAAGTTCTGAGAACACAAAAGTGTTTAGGAAGGTAAACCATATCTTCCACATTGTTTGAAATCCCAATGAGGGGTGAGTGAGAGTTGAGGATTTCCGAGGATTTAAAACATTAATTCCAGCAAGGATGTTCAAGTCGGCAAGATGGAGGAGCGAGAAGAACAAGATCAAAGCTGTATTCATATTGCGGTTTCAAGCAACTCAGGTACTGTGATTTGTTAAGATCAAAGCCATTGAAATGTTTGACTGCATTAACATTTTTTTTTTTTGGATCAGAACTACATTAACATTCAATTGATAGGACTTTATCCACATAAAAATCGACAGGAAACCAAGAAAATATAAGCAGTGTGAACAAGTAATTCAAGATTTTTGGAGTAATGTTCTGACCTGTCAACTGGTTTTGTGCTTTCAGGTGCCACAGCTAAGAAGAAAAACCCTGAATATATCATTAGTTCCAGCAGATATCGGAAAGCCAACGGTTAGACTAGAGAAAGCTCCAATTCTAGAAGGAACCTGTACCTGGGAACATCCGATCTATGAAACAGTAAAATTAATCAGAGACACAAAAACTGGAAGATTCAAACAGAAAATTTACCATTTTATCGTGTCAACTGTAAGAAACTATCACAATTACTGAACTCTTTCTGTAGATGAATTCCATCAATGACTAATGACAACTTGGTTTCTTGCAGGGATCTTCAAAATCAGGATTTCTGGGGGAAGTTTCTCTTGATTTTGCAGATTATGCAGAGGAAATAAAGCCATTAATCGTCTCTCTGCCCCTTGAGGCCTCGAACTCCAGTGCAATACTACATGTAAGGTTCCCACTCTCACAAAATTCTGTTTTTTTATCATAGGAAAAAAGTCGAAAAAAAAAAGATCATCATATGAGAACACATTACCAATAAATCCAAATTACAGCCTCTCTCTCTCTCTCTCTCTCTCTCTCTCTTGCATACACTACTCGAATGATTGTGTTTTAATGAATGGTAACTTTGTTGGAAAAAATGCAATCTCATTTATGATAATGAGTAAAATGTAGATGATTCCAAAAGTTTCTCATATTCAAATCTAACTGGGACAGATTACTATTCAGAAGATGCAGCGGAGTAATGATTCAAGGTGATTATGAACATTGGGTTAACCTTTGTATTTTCTTTCCTTTCCTACATTACCTTTGATATCTTTACTGAAAATCCAGATTTCCCCTTATGGGGAGTTTTGCAGAGATGTCGAAGAAGATGAAGCTCCAAGGGCTGAATCACAGGATATAAGCTTGGGGAACCTACTAGGCAATTGCATTGAGTATGGAGACAGCAACCTTGATTTTACTGAAGTATGGTCCTACATTCTCCACCTTTGTGGTTCCCTCTAACCCTCTCATGACTGTTAATATTATACTAGAATCAAGGACTTCAATATGTTAAATTGCAGGAAAAAAAATGGCATTTTCCACAACTAGGACATTAAGTAGAGGTGGAAAGATCATAATCCAAGCATTTGTTCTGATTGTTTCACAGGATAGGCACTTCAACAATATGACATCTCAGGGTACGGAGCAAAGTAGCAGCTTCAACAATACTCGATTGGATAATACTCCTAATCCTCTAGATTTTACAACTCTCAGATGGAAGCCCATGCCTGAGAAGGGAACAGTTGATGTCATTCCAGCAGAAAAACAGAAGCAACAGAGATCTAAGTCCAACACGAATCCGCCATTGATTTCTGCTTCAAATGGAAGTATGGTTGACTCAACAACCAGCCTTGAAGAAAACTTTATAAGAGACTGGTCGTCAGAGGCTTCAAATAATGCCACTGAGAAGCTGAAAAATGAAATTTCTATGCTGGAAAGACAGGCAGAAGTTTCAGAACTGGAATTGCAGTCCCTTCGAAAGCAGATGGTGAAGGAGAACAAAAGGGGACTCGATCTATCAAGACAAGTTGCTAGCCTAAAAGTCGAAAGAGATGTACTTAAAAGAGAATTTGAAGAACTTAAGTCCTCACTGAAACGGAGTGATGAGGCAGAAGTCAAAAAGCAGTCACAATCAAAGGCCGAAAATATAAGAGTTTTACTGGAACAAACTGTGCAAGAACTCAACCATGAGAAGGACTTGAATAACACACTACGGCTACAACTCCACAAGACAGAAGATTCACACTCCGAATTGATTTTTGCAGTGAGAGACCTTGAAGGCATGTTGGAGGAAAAGGGTAGGGAAATGTCTCATCTTACGAGCAAAACTAAGGCCAGACAAAATGCCAAAGAGGCTCATGCTGAAGCCTCCAAGAGCAGAATAAATTGGGATGAAGATGAGAAAGCAATGGGAGAACTAATTAAGGAGAATGACAATGACGAAGAAGCAGATTCGTTAAAGAAGAAGATTACAGCCCTGAATGGTGAAATTTTTGTCCACCGGAAAGATAACGAAGAGCTAAAAACGCATATGGAACTACTTGCTCTGGAATATGATATTTTAAAGAAGGAAAACCAAGATATCTCTTCCAAGTTAAAGCAGAAGCAGATAGAACAGATGAAGATGCAAACTGAATATTCAGAATCTATAGCTACCATAAAAGAGCTTCAAATCCAGATAGACAGATTAGAGAAAAAAATCAACAAGCAAGCACTAGAATTCTCAGAATCTCTAGATACCATTAATGAGCTGGAAACCCAGGTTAAGAGCTCGCAGAAACAACTGGAGAATCAGACGCAAAGTTTTCAAGATGATTTGCATGCTTTGACGCAAGCCAAAGTTGAACAGGAGCAGAGGGCAATCCAAGCAGAAGAGGCTTTAAGAAAGACACGGTGGCATAATGCAAATGCTGCTGAGCGGCTTCAGGAGGAATTGAGAAGGCTTTCTGTGGAAATGGCATCCAAGATTGACGCAAATGAGAATCTAGCCATGAAAGCTAAAGATTTGAGTTTGCAGAATGGAGTTATGGAGGAAATGGTCCAGAAAGCAAATGAAGAGCTCAGGTTAATGAAAGATCAGTGCAAAGAGAAACTGCAAGAACTTTTAAACCAAACAAATCTGCAAGCCACACAACTGGAGCAGATGTCACTGGAACTTGAAGACAGCCGCAAGCAAGTTGAAACTTATAAAAGACGTGAACAAGAAAAGCATGACGCTTTCTCAACTGAGATGAAAAACACTCAAAGAGGAGATAAAAAGGCTCAAATTGGAGAAAAAGGGCTACCCAGAAGACGCAGAGCAGAAAGAAACAATGAGAGCTGAGATGGAAGAAATGAAAACATCAATTGGTCAGTTCAAGGTTCCAAAAATATGGACTAAAAAAAGAGAAGCACTGGAGCGGGAATTTGCCTTACTGAGCAAGGAAGCACAGAAATTTCAGGAGGAATCAATAATTTTAAGGACTTTGAAGGATGAGAAGGAGACCCTAGTTGGATTTTTGCAGTCAGAAATGAAAAGGCTTGTAAGTGAAGCAGAATCATTGAAGGAAAGGAACATGCACATGGAAAATGAGCTGAAAGAAATGCAAGAGAAATATTCAGAGATAAGTCTAAAATTTGCAGAGGTAGAAGGTGAAAGACAACAACTTGTCATGACCCTGCGTAATCTGAAAAATGGTAAGAAATAGCATTTCTGTTATAGATGCCACGCTGAAAGCCTGATACTACAAATTACACATAGGTGAAGCAGGTACATGTGCCTATCAGAGACTCCAACAATTGACACAACATTGTTTTTCTCATGCTTATTGTTTATTTTCCTTAATGAATAAGAAAATATAACTCAATTCACAAGTTCCAACGGAAAAGCCAATTGACGAAATTTTTCCATCATGCAGGCTTTGCATTAATGTTCATGAATTATCTGCCTAGTTTATAGCAACAACTCTGGCTACTGCTTACAAAATAGATATACAACCCCCAAGACCAAATTGTTTTAAGAACTTATAATTGCTACAAAGGCTGATCTAGGTAATCCTATCAAAGAAAATGACAAATTTTAGAATGAACCAAAAGTAAAATAAATCTCTAATTTGTCATCAAATGCCAAACTCTGAGATCACTTAACTATACAATACAAAAGAAATCAATGCATCAACACAAATATACAGGGAATGAAGTGCATATGAGAGAGAGAGAGAGAGAGAGACATTGTATGGCAGAATCAAAGTATTAAATTGATTCTTATCTCATTTCATGTGTCTGGTATTGGTTGATCTCTTAGTAATCTTTTACATAGATGCCTACTGCTTTCGTTATTTTCACCCAAGTAAAAATGTCTGTGACCTACCAGGATACAAGTTTGATGCTTGATCTTACCAAAATCTCAAGTTATATGTCTGCTTCCCATAAATGTTGCACCAGTAGGTGCCCAGTCACTCCAGGTTCCCTCTGCCAAAAACTGCACACAGAAACTACAAATTAACAAAGAACAAGGGTACCCCAAACCAGTCCTATTTCCAACAACTTCAAAACAAGC